GGTGGTGGTGGTGGTGGTGGTGGTGGTGGTGGTGGTGGTGGTGGTGCATGCTTTTAATCCCAGCCCTTGGAGATGCAGGCAGATCTCACTGAGTTCCAGGCCAGCCAGGGCTACATGAGACCCTGCAGCAACAACAACCAAGTATGAAACACAGCGTGGAGACACAACTGAAAAGAAACACACAGAAGGCTGAGAAGGCAGCTCAGTGCTGGAGTTCTTGCCAGTAGGAGCGAGGCCCAGGTTCCTATGGACACCCTGCAGGACAGTTCTTTTCTTCATCATGAGCTCCAGAGACTGAACTGAGGTCACCAGGCAAGTGTCTTTTCCCCAGTCAGCTCATCAACATAGATCCAATGTATGAAAAGATTTTATTAGAATTCCTTTCCTTTTGTCTTTTTAGGGCAGGGACTCATGTAGCCCAGGATGGCCTCAAATTCATTATGTAGCTAAGGACCTTTCTGCTTCTGAGCCTCCTAGGCTGGGATTACCATGTGTGCCGCCATGTTGGGTCTGTGTAGCACTGGGAACTGGACTAACTCGGGTCTTTGTACAGCCTAGGCAAACACTCTACTGACAGTGACACGTCTGCAGATAATTACAATTCTTATCAATTTACAGCCAGGAGTAGCAGGGCACATCCATAATTTTAATATGTAGAGGCAGGAGGAAAAGATAGGGTTATCTTTCAGTTATACATAGTGAGCTTGAGGCTACATGAGTCCCTGACTGGAACAAACAAACACTTCTTACGTTCAAATCTGTGAATCCAAGAACATGCTTGTGCATGTGGGGAAAAAGGAGTATAATGTTGAAAGTTAAGTATGTTAAGACAAAAGCTAAAGAATCAAGCCATAATGACAAACACAGGTACTGAATGTCACTTAGTTTCTAGCTTAGGCCTTACATAAAAATACAAATACATAGAATAACCCATGTGTACTGCTCTTAAAATGATGAGAGTAAAATTTTCAGAGTCTAGATTCCCAAGATGCTTAGGTAGTCCCAAAGGTACAAAGGAAAACCACCCACAGAGGCTGCAGTGCAGATACACATGCAAAAGAAACTTAGGGTTGTTCTGTTTTTTACACTTCAGAAAGAACGCTATAAGAAAAAGGCAACCTAGTTAAACAGGCAAAGGATCTCTGTAATCATTTCTCCAAAGAACATACACAACTAGCCAATAAGTAAATGAAAAGGTCAGCAGTAGTATCAGCCAGTGAAAAGCAAAAACACAATGATATCACTCCATATGTGATAAACCAAGAATAAGAATAGCAATGGAGAGCTGCAGAATGCTCACAGTGCTGGCTACAGCTGCACTGGTCCAATGGTGCACATGTACGCCTCACACAGGAGGATGACTGAAGATGATCGCTTGTACTTGGGAGTTCAAAGGCCAACTGGGGCTACAAGGTGAGCTGGAGGCTAGTCTGAGCTCCATAGACTGCTTTCAAAGAGAGTGGGGGTACAGTTATGGGCTGGCAAGATGGATCAGGAGGTAAAGGCACTTGCTGCCAAGGCTGATGATCTGAGTTCAGTGCCCAGTGCCTACACTGGGAAAGGAGAGCTCACTCCTGCAAGCTGTCCTGTGACCTCTGTGGCACTCATGACAGCACATGTGTAAATACACACCCAAATGTAGTAAAAAATGTAGTTATGCAAATCACCAACATGATCCTAGGTGTTTATTCAAGAACGGTAAGCTTACTATCAAATGATGAACTGATAGGGATAGGGTCTATTTTTGTGGAAGGGCACTCTTTTAACATGTGAGGCCTCTGGGCTCCATTCCTAGGGCAGCAAATGAAAAATAATCAATGGGGACTGGAAAGATGGTTCACTGGCTAAGAGCACTGGCTGATCTTCCAGAGGTCCTGAGTTCAATTCCCAGCAACCACATGGTGGCTAAGAACCATCTATAATGAGATCTGGTGCCCTCTTCTGGTGTGCAGATACACATGGAAGCAGAATGTTGTATACATAATAAATAAAAATCTTTGAAAAAATCTTAAAAAACAAAACAAAAACAAAAACATAGGTCAAGCCAGGCATAGTAGTGCATGCCTTTAATCCCAGCACTTGGGAGGCAGAGAAAGGTGGATCTCTGTGAATTCGAAGACAGCCTGATACACAGAGTTAGTTCCAGGCTGCATAGAGAGACCCAGTCTTGAAAAAAAAACCAAAACCAAAAGCCAAAACAAAACAACCCCATAGGCTAGCTAGCCTTTAAACTGCACAACACTCTGCTAGTCCATACTCACAGATACAGCAATACAATATTTACGGCTTCTCAGGTGTGGGAGAACAAACTAAGACCCTGTGCATGAGTGTGTGTCACTGAGCTATACTCTGGCCCCTAAACTGCTACATCCTTAATATGTTCTTGGTACCCAGGAGAACAAACACATGCTCAATATATCACGAGCCACTGGGAGCTATTGTCAGGCTTTCTAACTCTAAAGCCCATTTGTCTGTCTGCTTTGTGTACGCAGACCTCCAGTTGAGTTACAGTCTATGACTAAGTTAGGAGAGAGTGCACTACTTCTTTAAGGCCAGGTCTCTACCTCCTCTCCACCATCACAAGTTGTCTTCTAGAACGTGAGAGCATTAAAAGGAATCAGTTTATTCAGAGCTGCATCTGTAACTCCCAGAAGAAGCAGGCTCGATCAGTCTGCCGATGTACACTGCACCCCAGGCACATCCCTGCGCTCACCTCTGCTTCCAACCCCCCTCTCCCAGTTAAGGGTTTCTCCTTTACTTCCATTTTTATTTCCCTGAGCTTCAAAAAGTAACACAACCTTTCATTTACTTCAGTAACTTCCTGCTACATTCTAGTAACAAAATAACCTCAAAATTGTCTTCTAAGAGAAGACCATCCTTAGCAAGATAGACAATGGTGTCTGTCAAAGCACAGGCAGCAGTGCACCAGTGGGCCACAGTCACCATTTAAAATCTGGGCTGGGGACGTAGCTCAGTTGTAGTGTATTCCCCTCATATGCACCTGTCCTGCTTGGTCCCCCCAACAGCACATGTAACTAGGTGTGACAGCATGCGGCTGTATTCTAGCATTCAGGAGGTAAGAGACAGGAATCAAGAGGTCAGTGTCATCCTTAGCTACACAGAAGCCATTCTAGGTTACAGGATGCTCTGTTTCAAAAAATAAACAAATACCTGATCTGGGGGCCAGGGTGTAGCATGAGAACTTGAGTTCAGATTCCTAGTATCCATATTAAACTCAGGAGTGCCAGTGCCTACAACCCCAGAACTTGGGGATGGAGGAAGTAGACCTAGGGGCGGGCTTACCAGCCAGCCAGCCTAGCTAAAACGCCAGTGAGGTTCAGTGAGAGACAGTGCCTCAAAGGTCAGGTGCAGGGTGATTCGATAGTGGAAAGCATGGAAAGTCGACCTCTGTGTGCCTTCGTAAGCACACACCTGTACATTAGTCCTGATACCCACTGCCAAGCTTATCTGAATACTGATGTAACATACCTAGGATCAACATTTCATGAAATTTCTACATACATGTGGGATAATAAAAATGCTGACTATGAGTCAAACAAAACTGGAAAATATACTAACATTGAAGAAGAGGAAGAAGGAACAGCAAATTGCGCTGTTGAGCACAGAAGGGAAAGAGCTCTGAGACAAAGTGGACGACTATTCCTCTACTCTCCTTTACAAGTTGAGATAGGCCCATTTACACTAAGTCCTATACTGGCTTTCACCCACTTTAAGATACATTCTGGAGATCTTCAGTTAGAACTGGCATGTTTTGCTTTAAAGTTACATTGTAAGTCAAAGAACTGCTACATTATAAACAATTCTTACCTTGCTCTCTCTTTCTAGTTCACTTCGAAGCCATTCAAAATCACTGTATCTTCTTCTAACAGTAGATTCCTTCAGCTTGAAGATAGGAAGATTTGTCTGAAAAGAGAACAGTCACTCCTAAGTTTAAGCACATTAAGGCATTTCATTTCTGAAAGGGTGGAAGATGTCCGCCACATTGGTAACATGACAAACAATAAATTCACAGATTTGTAAGGTAAGAAGCACACTACCACCAAGCTGTCTCCAGCCCTCCCTTCCAAGCTAATTTTGAGACCAGATACACTAAGTTCCCAGGCTAAGCCCTGACTACCACTCACTGTAGTCAAGTAGGCCTTGAACTTGCTATCATCCTGCCCTGGCCAGGCATTAACTCTTCTTTTCTCTACAGTGCTGGGAATGAACCCACAGCTTTGCACACTAGGCAGAGCCACATCTCCAGTCTAAAAATACAGCCTTCTTTTTTATTCTCCTTTGAAATTCATGTATCTTACGTGTATAAGAATGTTTGGTGAGTGAGGTAACCCAGTCACAAAAAGACAAACACATGGTATGTACTCACTCATATATGAATTTTAGACATAGAGCAAAGGATTACCGGCCTATAATCCTCTTCACCAAAGATACTAGGAAACATGAAGGACTCCAAGGGATAAATGGTCCCCAGGAATGGAAGTGGCATGAACTCCTGAACTAATTGGGAGCATGAGGGTAGGGGGGAGGGAGCTGCTAAAATTAGAGCAAGAGAAGAGGAGTAGAGGAGAGGAAATGGAGGGGCAGAATATTGAGTTGGGGAAAGAATAGAGGAGAGAGAGCAGGATGAGAGGTACTATATCAGAGGGAGCCACTATAGGTCCGAAAAGAGATCTGGAACCAGGGAGATCTCCAGAGACCTACAAGAATGACACCATCTGACAATCCAGGCAATGGTGGAGAGGATAACCTAAAAACCCTTCCCCAAAAATGAGATTGATGACTTCTCTTTATGCCATCCTAGA